TAGCGCTAAGACTATACAAATATTATTTTTATATTCAATAACTGATTAAGTAATTGCATATGCGTATTCGAACAATCTCGTAAATGCAATGCTTTTCACATCTTGCCTTTTGGGCCTTTTGAATAGAACTGAACAGACTGAGTACCGGCTGATTCTGCCACTTCCGTCTCTCCACTCGACCCTAATTCTTAGTAGCGGGGTGAAATGTGGCAGAAACGGCCGGTGATTGGTGGATGACAAAATAATTCAAAATGAATAACTCTTTACATTCAAACTACTTAAAATTAGATATTACAATAATTTTGCTATGTGTGTAAAATATTTTAACCATCTACATTAAAATTTACTTAACTTTGCGTTTGATGCATTTGCACCATAAACAATGTAAACATAGCATACGTAGCATACATACGTCACGTAAAAACCTATCATTTTATACCGCTTAAAAATTGGGTATTAACTTTTATTATATTTTTTATTATTTTATAATTATCCACTAAAAATGTGGTAAATTGTTTATTTTGATGACTATAGAGCGTCGAGCGGTGACAGGACATGTTTGCTTAACCAATTTTAAAGAGAACGTCATTTTTTTGTTATTTTTCTTTGTCTGAGATCTTCGAGTATAGAACGCCCAAATCAAAATTTGAAATCGATGTTTTCAACTTTGAAACATTATTATTTTTACTTCTACTGTAGAACGTTAAGTTTGAAAAGTCCTTGTATCTGTGTATGCTAAAGTTCATTATATTATATTATATTTGTTGTCAGTGTATGTCAGGATTCAGGCGATAAAATCCAGTGCTTGCTCACCGGAAATATGAAATTGACATACTGAACAAAAGAGCGTTTCAGTGTTGGACAAATACCTACTAATATAAATAAAAATCCCATCAAAATGTAACATAATCACGATTTCAAACCAATGCGGACAATGTCATCATAGATTAAGCCGTATTTTTACTCGCCGTGTCTGAAATGTATTTCCTAAGCGCTTTTCGTCATATTTTATTATGTGCACAGACTAGGAATGGAATCCCTGCCTGCCACTGCCACTGCGTTTCCTAGTACACACAACTCGAATATCTTTAAAGCGATATGGTATCGTGGTTGCGGAGTATCTAAAGCATGTGAAGTAAACGCAGAGAGAAATTCATTGCACGATATTTAACATTAGCGTTTTAGAAATAAAGTATACTCTTTTACCATAGTAGAATAAAATAAGTAGGGTAACTCCGTACAAATTACAGCGCGATTTGTATAAATGCGCAGTCGTCGCGCGCCGTGTACGCACACATTCGCATAATAATGAAAGGCACCTTGCGTCGCCTTACAGTAAAATCCTCGCATACGCGTTTTCACGTAGTTCGTTTTTAATGATTTTTGTTGAAGAAAAATTTATAAACTTCTTGCTCAAATATGTTATTAAAATAATACGAGTATAGTATCTGAAAGAGGTATAATTTAACTAAATAAAATGCTAACTACAAACATTATTGCGTTTACTACATTTTACGCTACATTTTTATCTTCGTCCTGAAAAATTACATAAAAATACCGTACATACGTCAGGGGACTATGATGCTTGTTTGTCAGCAAAAGCCTGGAATAAGAATTAGGTGCAATTTATGGTAGTCTGTGTGTGTGTCCATAGCTCCCACGACTTCCTATATCTATGCCCGCGACACAGGGTTTCTCTAGTGTAAAAATGTCTAACTGAATGAAACTCACTATTTTTCAAAGGCGAATATTCTTCAATAATCATCGTATGTATGAAATATATGTGAATTGAATATATATGAAAAATATATGTGAAACGCCTACCTTATTACTAGGTTATGTTGGTAGGTAGGCAGCTGGATAGCCGCTCAAAATGTTAATCGCAAGGATCTGAGAAGCACTGCCATTGCACTCGTCACCCTGAGACATAAGTTGATAAGTTTCACCAGCAACTTTACCTTTTAAAACCGGAAGTCAATAATGCTCATATTACATGTCACAGTATTTCCCTGGACGATTTTTTCACAAGGAGCTCTACTGCTACTAAATACGTTGTCTTGAAAAACTTGCTTACGACTGCATTAACTATCAAGAGATGATAATTAACAAGAGAATTGACATAAATTGCAAACGGGACAAATATTCAAACAATTGTGTTATAAAGTAACGTACACAATATATAATAATATCAAAGACTCTTAATGGCAACGAAACACCTGTTTAAATACTAAGATATTGTAATTAAGTGTATTGAATTTCAGAATGTTTCACCATCATGTTATTCAATTTTTTTTTAAATTACTCCACTAGTTTGTTACAATTATTAATACAAATAACGAAAATTGACACAGACACAGAAAAAATGTTTTATTTTCTAAGTATTCAGCTGAGTGAAAAAAATTCGTAAAGTTCGTGGTTCATTCGGAATAGCGTCTGGCACGGTTTGATAGTAAGCTACACGCCTGTCCATAACAGTTGCAATGCCACTCAGATCTTTAAATTGCAAAGATCTGAAGGGCACTGCCACTGCGCCTATCACCTTGAGACATAAGTTGACAAGTCCCATGTGCCTATAATTTCACCAGCTCCATTACCTTTCAAAACTGGAACGCAGTAATGCTTATATTACTGTTTGGCGGCAGAAATAGGTAAGGTGGCAGTACTTTTCTGGACGAAACTGTTGCGTTGTATTAAAAATTACTAAGATTTTAGTTTGAAGTTTTAAAGATACTAACCTATTCTGTGTCGCAATATAGATATTACAAAACACTGTTCAAGTTATTTTTTTGTTTGCAATCGGAATAACGAAAAATTTAAAAAATGGGAAATTTACCTAAAACTTGTTATTATTAACAGCAATATTAATAAATCGATAAGTAATTCGGTGGCCTATGCATTCCTGTACAGCTTAGGTGATAATTTAGCAGTATAGGGTTAATATTTATTAATACGCATTGCAATTTAAGGTATGCGCCGTTTGGAATTTCACAAATGGAAGGACAGCTGATGCAGGTTGAAATTGGGAGAGAAAAATATTTATCCAAATTCAAATTTGTAACCCTCTCCTGAGTGCACAATTCCCATTCCAGTTCCCCAAGATCCAAAACACACCATCTCGGAGGACGCTGCAGGCCTTTATTTAATATGCCTACAGGGAGAGATCCAAGTAACCCTTTTTAGGGGTCCTACATGAACACATTGTGTAGGTCGCGATTCTAATATTTTGTCGAAAATAAGTTTCTATCCACAGCAGGCGCTTACTGTGAAAGGATTGCTAACTCTACATCGGTCGTGTAGTATAACGTAATAATCGTAATGTTTTAATCTACGTTATTATTAATAAATATAATTAATTGAAATAAATGTATAAATAAAAATATAATATGTGAATGAAAAAAGTTTATTGTCAATGTTCTGATTATAATGTCAATTATAGCTCTAATAATATAATTAATTGTATTATACCCGTAACTTTTACGTTTATAAATAAAACTAAATCCAGTTATTACGTTCTCGTGATTGATACACGTTGAAACGTAAACATTTTATCGAATTTAAAATCGCTTATATTTTATTATTGATGCAAAGATGTTCGATCTTCGAACGCAAAGAAAAAATCCTTAGATCTGACTAGGCTCGATCCAGTGTTTGTTGCCATACCGGGGCTATCGCCCTTAACCAACTGAGCTAGAGACCAATTCCGACTGAATTTCTCTGTGTTGGTTGTTGAGTTTTATATTTGGTTTAAATGATTTTTTGCGGCGTTTTGCCGTCAACTTAGTTTCTCAAACAAACCAACGTTTAGGGATCTTTACAGGTCCAATGGCTGCGGCTGACTGTAGAACTAAAGTTTAACTAACCAGAAGATAGACATGCATCTGGTGTCGGTTTAAAAAATACCCTGTATGAAATGCAATACCTACTCTACTTACGAATATAATATTGAAATAATCCTGTGAAGCCTGTTGAATGCGTAATAGCGTACCATGTACAAATTATTTTCAAAGGCTGTAATCCAGCAGCACTGATAACAAAGGAAACTCCACATTATTTAAGAGAGCGTAGATAAAACAAAAAATACACGTCAAAATCATATTTTTTGTGATATAAGATGACAGGACTAACAAGTCGTGCGCCTGGTGATAAGCGACACGCTTATCCACAACAGTTGCAGTGCCGCTCAGAGTTTTTAAATCGCAAAGATCTGAGGGTACTTCTCACCCTGAGACATAAGTTGACAAGGCTCATGTGCCTCTAGTTTCACTACCACTCATACCCTCCAAAACCGGAAAGCAGTAATACTCAACTTACAAGAGTAAACTCTTTTACAAGAAACTCTAATACTGCTGCTAAACAAAGTTTTAATAATAGTAATATACAATAAAATTGAAATGAAGAAATAATAACAATATATAAATTACCAATAAAGAAAAAATCGCAGTTACATCACGCAACAAAAACGATTTTTTAAAACTCAATAGCTATCACGACGTACCAAGTTTATGTTAGAAGCGAAGAAGAAAAAACAAACTCGTTTTTCAACTGTGCAGACATAGTGCCTTATTAAAATTGTAAATGTTTGGAAACGTTCCTAGATAACTCTAGTCAGTCCGCTTTTCCGTTTTGGTGATAACCTGCTTTCTGTAGCTTTCATCGCATTTCCCGAATCAATAGAATAAATAAGAATAAACTTCTTATTTAATTAATAAATCAATCGATTAATTGGAATCGTTCTATAAAAACTTGTGTTGTTATATTAAAGTTGATTATCAATATCAATCAATGCATTTAATTAGGTTGATAAAATAAATTTCATCATGTTTTTTCTGCTGAATTTTTATACTGAAGGTAATTACAAAATCTATAAAATTATTTATGAAACCGTCTAGCAACAAAGTTGTTAGACGAAGCTACATTGAAAGGTGAATCAATTGGTGAAAACTTTTCATTACCATTATCAAGAGCAGCAAATCAAAATTTATCACTATCAGTTAGATTACCTTGACTTTAGACATGTCGCTGTAACAATTACATTGGTGTCACATGGAAAGGACAATTGGACCAGACCGTTCGTTCACCGTGATCAATTGCACTGGTATAGTTCAAAATGTACGTCTGACACGTACGCACCGCGCGACAGTACGTTTGCAACTGACGCTACACAGTTTCATTGAGTTCGAATTATGAAAGTTTACACATAAATATCGACACTGGCCGTTTATATTTCTTTTAATTTTATTTTGGAAGGTCACAACTTTCGATTAGAATGATAATAGAAGACTTATGTAAGTATTAAGACCCCGCATCGGATTTCTATGGCAATAAAAACTTCCATTGAGTCTATTACCTCTATCTACGCGTTGTTTGTGCTCGGACTGACTAAACAGTGACCCAAAAAGGGCACCTAAACATGGGAAATGGTTTAACTCGATCAGGCTTTGTTTAGTTTATCTAATATTATTGAATTACATCGGCACTAAGCTAAAAAGTTTGGGCGTCAGGGTTTCGCTTAACATTTATTTATCACGATGTTTTATTTGTACAGAAATGTTCAAGAAGACACACTAGAGTGGTGGTATATGATTTTCTATTAGGACGACGAGATTTCCAACGTTTTTTTGAAGTCAACGTCTTGTTGACTTCAAAAAATACCTACTTTGTGTTCTGCTATAAATACACAACGAAGACCTTTTAGTAGCAGTAGAGCTCCTCGTGAAAAAGTTTTTCTTTATCTTTTTTTTTAAACTTCACGCCTGTCCATGACAATTGCAGTGCCACTCAAAGCTTTAAATTGCAAAGATGTGGGTGGCTCTGCTACTGCGCCCGTCACCCTGAGACGTAAGTTGACAAGTCCAATGCGCCTGTAATTTCACCGGCGGCAGAAATGGGTAAGGTAGCAGTACTACCCTGGACGAACTTTTTCACAAGGAGCTCCACTGCTACTACGTAAATAAGCGTCCAGGGACCACCAGGGTACCACCAAGCCACCTGACCTATTTCTGCCGCTAAACAGTAACGTGAGCATGATTGCGTTTCGATTTTGAAGGGTAAGGTGAAATCACAGGCACGTGGGACTTGTCAACTTATGTCTCAGAGTGACGGGCGCAGTGGCAGTGTCCCTCACATGTTTTCGATTTAAAGTTTTGAGTAGTACTGATCCAAGTAGAAGATGTACAGGATCTCAACGAACTCTTTAAATTTAAGATTTATAGTTGACTATAATATATTAGTAATGGGTAGCTAATTTACAGATGTAGTGCCATTAGTAGTAAACCAGTGGTCGTTTCTTATGGAAAAACAAACAAAAATTAATTATTGTTTTGACATTTGTTAGTTTATACAAAAAAAATCGTTAAGTATGTGGTAGGGATAAAATAACATTTATATGGTGTTACTTGATTGGTGCAAAATAGAACCCCCTGGCCTGCGTAATGTGGGCACATTACGTAGAACGTTTTGTTACTGCTTCGAAAATTACATTAACTTAAATTTAAAAAATTCTGTGCTGTCGCAACAGCACGATTTGTTCTTCCAGCACTTTGCATTATAATCGGACCAAAGGTGTCAGTTTTTATTATAATCAAAACCAAAGACCAAAGGTGTCAGTTTTTATTATAATAAAACACCTTTGGTCCGAGATACCTTGCCTCAGGAGCTCGATCTTATATCAACGAAATGGGTTGTCACCTCGGCGCTCCATCGAGAAGTTCCTTACAGTCAGCGAAGTTTGATTAGTATCAGTAGGGTATGACGAAAGACGAGTGAGCGGAAGTGTATTTAGGATTGCGTCAATTTGTGCGAACAACGTAACTAGGTCCTCAATCGTCAGTGAAGCGTTACGTGAATTGTTAAGTGGATGAACAAAGGATGGTGATGGTGATAAAAATAGTGTTCCATGAAAAAAAAAACTATGATAAGAAAAATAAACATTTTATTTTTGCTCTACACAATAGAAACATATTAAGGTTTACATATCTTTTAGAAAAACCCTTACTTAATTGCAATGGAATGACTAGGTAACGGATATAATGATACCTGTCATTAACAACACAGTTTTTCTGTACTGTTACCAGTATATATATTTTGTGGATTAATTATAGTACTTCCTTAAAATACTACAGAAAAACAATAAAAATACAATTAAAACACCACAGCTAATTTTTTTTTTGCACTGGCTTATCTGCTTCGTAAAATTTTACGATGTACAGCTGAACCAACGTGCAAAAACGATGCTTTACATCGATTATAAACTAGCCTAACCTTAGACCCAACTAGCCTTTTGAGAACCGGATGAAGTCCGTATAAACGGGCTGATCTGGGGTCAGGACTTGACTGGAAAGGTCCCTGCGCAAGCTTGCTCGCACAGGTTAGTGCCCTTCCCGCATAACCAAGAGGTTGATAGGGAGTGTCACTATAAATAAAACTTATGTAAAAAGATATGGGGCTGACCATAAATGACCTTGAAATAAAAATTCTAGCCATAGTTACTCTAAATATAATTTCATTAGCAGTACAGCTCCTTGTGAGAGGCTTCGTCCAGAGAATTACCGCCGCCTTACCTACTTCTGCTTATGCATACTTGGCATATCGTAAGAGAGAACGTAAAGGAAACACAGAACTGTAAAGGAAAGGAAGCTGCAGTGTTTTGACCACGTAATGAGGGTCATTAGATACCGGACTCTTCAACAATAATGCCGGGGAAAATCCAAAGATAGCGTGTCGTGGCAGAATGAAAACTTCGTGGCTGAAGAATCTGAAAGATTGGTTCCGCCTTAATACACTTTTTTCCTTTCGTGCGGCAGCTTCTGCAATGAGAATAGCCATGATGGTCGCCAACCTTCGCAGAGCAGCGGCACTCTAAGAAGCCGAAGACCCACTTCTGCCGCCAAGCAGTAATGTGTACATTACTGCGTTTCGGTGTTGAAAGGTAAGTGTGCTAGACAAATTACAGGCACATGGGACGTGTCGACTTAGGGCTTAAAGCGACAGGCGCAGTGGCAGTGTCGCTTAGACCTTTGCAATTGCACTGTTAAGATGTAATTAACATACATAGAACGAATATGATCTCCCTAGGAAATACCAGAATTACTTTATTACAGTAGTTAATTTAAAAGAAAAGTTTTGTTCGATAGTTCGAGTCGAGTTCTTAGGTTCTCGAGATTGTTATACATAGGAAATTAAACTTTTTTTCGGATCTAAACCTTCTGTTTGTTTGTTGAATGTTTGTGTTTTAAACAAAACCAACGCTTCTGGTCCTTTACAGGTGTCATGATCATAGCTGACGAACGGCAGTTTATCCGAAAAAATATAATATGAATTTTTTTAAATATTATGTAGACACACACGGGTGTGTAACGAGCACACGAAGAAAGCGGTCACCGTCGCCTATGAACACTTGCAAATCTAGGCGTGTTACGAGCGCGTTGCCAACCCTTTAGGATCGTTTTCAAAGGACTCCCTTTGAAGGACTCCATGCTGTATTCCTACGGGAAAATCCCCAGTAATAGTTTTATTTCTTATGT